CCTCACAGAGTATCCTGCTCTCTAAGATCATCATAAATTTTCTCTGACATTTGATATTGTGTTATCTGTAACTTACAACTATGGTGTCTAAAGACTGAGGACTAAGCAGAGTGGAACATTTTGACACAATTTTCTTTGTTTCACATGGTTGGAACTCTGCTTGACCAAGTATGGGAGTTACTTTACTCCATTTCTATCTTAGTTAGAAAGTCAGATAAATTATATTAGTTTTAGGACATTCTATTTTACATCTGTAGAAATATTTGATATTCTAAGTTAGATATTTAAAATTAAAAGAATTTCTGAAACCACATTATTGTTACTTTAAATTAGAGCCAAGCTTTGACACTGACTTGGATTAAGTGCAAGATCTTAAAGAAAAGAATTTCAGATCTAATTACTAAATTTCATTTTTTTTTATGTATATTCTTTATTTATTGTTATAAAAGTAACTACAATATAAAAATTAAAAACTTGTTATAATTTTTTAATGAAATAAATAAAATATTCGTGATTAATGATAGCATGCACCGAGTGTGAACATGGTTTTGTAATTCAACACAAGCATGCTGATAACTGGATTCATTATTCACACAATGCTGCATGGCATAATAACTATCACTATAGTCTGAGACAGTCAAAAGTAAAAAAAAATAAAATCTTCTAACTTAAACTGTAAAAATAAAATAGTGTAATTATCTATTACAAAGTAACAATGAAAAAAAGGTAATTCAGATTTTGCATTTTTGTTGGTGGGTACAAGGTCAGTCAAACTGATCAAGTCTGTATAGTATGATAGTAGAGAAAATGAAGTTTTAGATTAAAAACAACTTTTGATATTCATTCAGGAAGTTCTAGAGGGTATGCAAGTGATAGTATGATAGTAGAGAAAATGAAGTTTTAGATAAAAACAACTTTTGATATTCATATAGGAAGTTCTAGAGGGTATGCAAGTGATAGTATGATAGTAGAGAAAATGAAGTTTTAGATAAAAACAACTTTTGATATTCATTCAGGAAGTTCTAGAGGGTATGCAAGTGAAATTTGAAGACTAAGATGAAATAAAGTTTTACTCTTGACATGAAAACCACCTTGCACTCAGACTAGTCAGTCTGACTACATAAATTGACACAAATTTTTTCATAAAAATACATAATGAAACAGCCAAATTTTGTGCAGATACACTTACAATATTAAAAGTTATAGTACATACAGTTTCATGGTTACTTGTTTGATACAGAGTGGTTGCAAGGTCGGTCAATTTGACCAAACCAATACAGATAAAGGAGAAGTATTTAACATAATTAAAAGAAACATTATTAAATGTAGAGATCATTCCATGCATATGTTTTATATATTAATTAACCAATGCTATGACTTTTAAAAAATATTTAGTTATTTCTCACTAAATCTGTAACTTATCTATCAATCCCAAAACACCAGTAATCTTCCTGCATACAGCACTATATACATTGTTATTCAATACACAGACAAGAAAGTTATATTTGGATTTGTTGATATCACCAATCATTACCTGGAAGTCAAACTTCTAATCCATTATTATATTTTCAATATTATATTTCCATTATTAGTAGTACTAGTACTTAAACAAAATACTCCTGAGCAGTTACCTAATCTTTAATATTAACTAATACTAACCTAGGGTATGCTCCAATACACTTAACATATTAGGCATTCTTAAATTAGCATGTTCTTTTGCTCATATACCTATGAATGTTTGCATTAAACACTGTACAGCATCAGAAATCTTCTACACAAAAATTACTTTGCTATTTATCTGATTGGTCAAATAATTTATGATTATTTAAACAAATGAAACTAGTAAGAATCAAAAATAGAAGTACCTATATGTTCAGTTTATATAACCTTGTAATCTTTTGAAAAGTATTCTCTGTATAGTAAAAAAAAACATTTATGTATCCTACTTTGTAGTGTATCCACATATACAACTCTGATGTATTTTGAAACCTGGATTTTATCTGCAGTATTTATTCAGGTATAAAGAACATTAAGGATGCATGAGTACCCAGCCAGATATTCGGCCCAGGCCGGGTATTGGGCTACCCATTAATACTCGGCTCTGGCTGAGTGTCGAAGTTAGGCATCTAAGCCCTAATCTTTGTGGCAACTACTGTGGTACTGAAAGTTACAGTCAATAATTTGTTTAGTTATTAAAAAAATGTGTTCTGAACAACAAAAACTGACCACTCACTGAATTTCGGGGATTCAGAGAACAATAGGGGTTAATAACAGGCATGGCTTGAGAATTGGATTTCTGGTGAAGGTGAGAGTTTTGAGAACAATAGGAGTTAGGGTTTGAGAAGTTGGGGATAGGTACTGAAAGTTGAAAGTAAAACTTCAATGTTCTGTTGGTGATTATTCGGTTAGATATAATAAACGTCAATTTTTTGTTTTTGTTTCTAGTTTTTGTGTACATTGTTCTTTGGGGGGGGGGGGACAAGGAGAGAACCTGGTTCCAGCCGCAGCTTACTGACTGGGTATCCGGACAAGGTATTCGGCCAAATTTTACTACCCATGCATCCCTGAAAACAGCCAATGTAGTTTATAAATTTATTATAAGGAATATAACATTAGTTTGATGACAAGAAAACTGCTGACACTAGGCAAGTATGACATAGCAATCCACTCAAATTAGTTCAAGATCTTAGAAAGTGCTAATAAACAGTCTCCATATAAGACCTTACTCATTCATAAACAGAGGTCGTAATTCAAGATTAGTTAAGCCTGTAAACTGTCACTTATTTTACAAGTTAAAAGAAAATGGTCAGTATTTATTGTCATTAACATGATTTTAAAATAAATGAACAAAAATAACGGCACTTTCACATTTACATCACTTATACATTGCCAGTGTGCATAAATTCTGAATTGTAAAAACATTAATTCTTATTCTATTTCTAATGAGCTTTATATTTGTATTATCAATACTAATTAGTATTACTATTACTTAGACAAGAGTGTCCATCAATCCTCATTTTTCCAATCTAACAGTAACAACACAAAACTTGTTTATAAACCTTTTAGTCTAATAAATTCACCTTTTAAAATCACTTTTTAGATATTTTCATCACGATTCATTCGAAATGATAACGTAATTGAAAATACTAAGTCTATGTTCATCGCCACACGTTGGATATTTTTCCAAAGCTTAATGTTACTGTTAGGCCTAATAGTAATACTGAATTCGACCCACAAGTTACTAGTACTCCGTACTAGTACGAGCTATATCAAATTACGACTTTTGAACAAATATTTATAATGACATTAAAAAAATTTGTTTCATAAGGTAAAGTATTCAATTTAAAAGGATTATAACAAGCACAAATATGAAACCCCTTTGAATATCACATTTTTGTGCTTTAGCCTTTACGCTCAGTCAACGTACATAACTGATCATAAACTATGTATGCGATTGGGCGTGATTTTAAATACGAAACATGTAACTTAGTTCTGAGAATCTTACCCATTTTTGGATTGGACATCGTCGCTAAGTCACTGTTTTATATTTCTTAATTAGTTTCATTCCAAAATAAAACTGTTTGATGAAAAGGCCAAAAACCTTTTCAACCAAAATGTTTCTTAACAGTACATTATACAGAAATTGTGTAAATAAATGAGAAAACAAAGCTACCTATACATTTACACATTAGACGTAACTAAGCCTACAAAATAACAACCAACGAAGAGTACAAACGGTAAATTAATATTTTATCCTCAACCCACAGATATATACACCACGTTAATTCTCGTGTAACACGGGATCTCCAACGGTAAGAAAGCAGGAGTAAATCACCTGTTTCAATTATTGTTTGCTTGACCACAAAATACTTACTATTCAATACCATATTTGTATGGAAATTGAATTAAGTATTTTTTATGTCTGTTTTCTTCACGAGATAGTGTAGAGTTTATCGATGGCTTGATGGATTATTTTATTTTCATTCAGTATGTTAAAAATGTTCAAGAAAAGATGTAAATGTTTTTTAGTTCATCGAAACTTCAAAATATAGTGCAATATAATTTATTGTACCTAAAAAAAGTAATAGTCTAAATATTCCAGATCATAATATTGTTACGTCTCCGTTTTTTAATTAACTAATTTTCCGTAACTTCGTACCGACGAAACTTACGCGACACAAGCCTTTACTTAATAAAACTGGTTTATTCTTTCC